GGGGGGGGGGGGGCACTTGGGTATTTTTTGGGTGGGTATGTGCCGCCCGGGACTCCAAATTGGCACCCCGTTCTAAAAAAAATTTTCCCCTAAAATTGATACCCCGTTCTAGAATTCGCCCTAAAACTGATACCCAGTTTTAGAAATGGGCCAATTTTTTATACTCCGTTCTAAGGTGCAAAGAGTACAACAGTTTGCTTGTCAACGCATTGAACCGTTTTTTTAAAAGCAATCTGTCCTTGAACAATTTCAAATGGCTGCTTACAAAACTGGAGCTTTCGTGCGTTCGAAATATTATACCCCGTTCTAGAAAACGCCTCTGAAATGGATACCCCGTTCTAAATCAGGAGCTTCAAAATCACGACCACGTTGGGCGGCACATACCCGTATAGGTAATGTCCCCCCGGGCTTGCAGTCCGCCTTTTCTCTTAAAATCCGTCTAGTTCTTATCTCAGCCAGCGCGATTGCAAACCACGACGTTATGTTACGCTTATGTTGTGCTTACGCCCTAGTTTATCGCCGCTCGCGTGCTTGGGTTTCTCGAGCAGTAACTTTGCAGAGAAAAGTAAGAGACTGCTCGCAGTCTATTGTAATACTGATTTACATATTAAGACTCACTTTGCAAAAATGCGAGGCTTAACTTTGGGGAAGGAAAAACCGCAGCAGAGCTGAATTAAATTAAATTAAATTAGATTAAGTGCAAAGAACCGCAAATGAATTTTCGCAGGACGAATCTGATCAGCAAAAATATAGCAAGTGCAAAAAAGGCGCATAAATCGGCAAAGCTGATAGGAAAGAAAAGTCAGAGGTTAAATTTAAGTGAAGAAGTGGATTTTAAATAGGGGCTTTCGTGTCTTCTGCTTCAAGAAGAGTTGACGAGTAGCCTACTCTCATAGGAGTTTTTCTACCGAATCGGGGTGACAATTAAATTTCTGGATGCATTGATTCGTTGACTTTTAGCCATCAGTCAGGTCTTCCCACCGGCGTCCTTTTTTTATTTTCGGAAATTCCTTCAATATCTGTGATCGTCTCATTTACCTTTGGTCGATTCTAATTCGTACCCAGGCGCTTCTTGGAGTTTTCTGCTGTGGTGCCTTTGTGCCGTGACTACCGTTGAAAATCCCGACAAGCACTTAGGTACGAGCCAGCTGCTACTCATGTGAATTCGGAAATGTTCACAGTTGAACTTCTTTAGAACGGCCATCTTGGGGATAGAAGAAAGTGGCCGTTTGTAGACAGGTTTTAAACAAGAGTCAATGTAAGGATTTTTTGTCCGCCGGGACGAAAAAAAGGGGCCGGTATCAGAGAGAGGTGTCCGTTAGGGAAGATTTGACTGCACTTTACTTTCGGCGTGAGTTCGCGCATTACCTTTGTTAACTTTATTGATTTTCGAAGCTGGCTGAGTTAGTCGCGAGGAAAATTTCTTTTTGTCGCATTCATTATCCCTCGAAGAGTGGGAAATAGAGCAAACGGATCTACTCCTGCAAATGAAAACATGTTTTAATTTCCTATTGTTCAATCAATTGGCTTATCATAACTTAACAATGCAAGTTTACAGTTTATAAGTAATGCAAATATTTTAAATTTTTACTTTCTTATCATTCACGTTCTCTGAAAAATCTAATTTTACCACGCAAAACAACGCCTTTCTCTTCCGAAAATATAAAAACAATTAAGACTCATTATGTTAATTTTGTTGTTTATCTCCTATAGTGAAAAATTGTAACGATCAAGATGTTAACAACATTTTTCAAGTGCATCTCTAGAAAACTGATACTGAGTACCGTTGTCGATTTTCGTTTAAATTTCGTTAAACAACAGTTCTGCAAGAATCGGCCATTCAAATATCAAAAATAAAACAAATTGCGGAAAAGGATTATCGTCTGCGAAAAAAAATTAAATTCATTTCGTATTTAAATTTGATTTTGAAGAACCCACATAATGACTATATTTCAATGATAGAAATTGAAGGATCTGAGAAATCAGTCTGTTTCAAAAGCGTTGATTGCTTTCTGCCTCCGGGAAATTTGTTCAAGGAAAATCGACCAGAATTTCCACATGTTTAACCGGTATTCGCCCAAATTTTCCTTCCAAAGTTCCTTCAAGCCAGTCTTCATTCAGCTTCTCCGACAGCATTATCACCTGGCCCTTAGAGAAGGACAGCTCCCCGTCTTTCTCCGCCTGGTAGTCGCATTTCGCTCGGCAACTCGGCTTACTGGGCGTTGCTTCTTCATTCGGTTTCCCAGTTAAGTCCGAGTCGTCTGCCAAAGGATTCGTGCCTTTGGCGGAAGCTTCGGACTTTCCCTGATTCACGGCCTGATTCTCTGCACTCTTATTTGCCGCTTGATTATTGCCACTGCGACTTGAAGCTTCATGTACCCTCTTGTTAAGTAGCAATAGTAGCCGCTCAAGGGTGTCGGCTGATTTCTTGTGGTGCTCCAACATGGCGCAGACCAACTGACTGAGCTGATGAATACGCTCAACTTCATTTCCCATCAACTGGGTCATCTCCTGTTGGCAAATCGCTTTCGATTCTTCAAACTTGTACTGTGCCATTTTGACTTCTTCCACCGCGATTTTATTTCCCTTGCGCTTCTTACAGTCATAATCGAGTCTCCGACCTTGTAGCTTCTTCCGATGCCCTGCGATCTCTTTCAGTTGCTTTTCTTCCAGTTCGTGTAGAGGGATTAGGAAATTCTCATGGACTTGCGCATCCATCGTATCTTTCACTTCGGCAACTTCGATCAGAGAACTTCCGACATCAAGCAAAGCCGAAGCGTAGTCGGATTGCTGTGGGTCGAGATCATGGCCGGCTTTCAGCATTATATCACCAAGAGCTCCTTCCGTCTGGGGGTATTTGCTCCCTTGTGCGGCCACATGCATGTAAATCTTTGCGCGTACGGCTGGATTGGGCTGAAGATACTCCTTCGTTTTGCCCAGCAGCTGAGTCACAAGATTTGTCATCACGTCAGTTTTTCGCTCCAGATCGATAAATTCGTCCTCCATCTTAGTTCCTTCGGCCGATCCCATCTTTTCGCTCACAAACTGGTTTGCCTTGTTGATCTGTTTCTTAAAGCCCGCGAACGACATCTTGCTAGAATATTTTTCTTCGGGGAAAAAGCAAAACAAACGGGTAACGCTTCAGTTGACAAGGATGATTCGGTTTAACGCAAAATCTATGAGAATCAAAGCCTTTGATCGTAGAAAAAAATATTTGATGAACTATACCACCGCAGTTGCTTTCGCTTTGCTCGGTTGGACACTCTACTGATCGACTGCAGTGAGAAAATTCATAATTTATCCCCGTAGATTCAATCGATAAATTTGACCAATTTCATTTTAGCGACTAATCATTTAGTTTGTTGCAAACCAATGAAAAGATTTCCATGTTAGACCAAACAGGTGCAAATCAGAATTATTCAAAAGGTGCCTTTATATTTTCAGAATAATCAAATCGCCTCCATTCGATTTTCTTATTGTTCTTCTGAAAAGGAAACGTAGGAAATAAATTCACAGCGTTGTTTTCCGCTACTTACAAATGTTTACAAAGAGAAATCACAATCGCGGAAACTCTTTTTTTAAATTAACTCGCTTATAAACTTGTCCAATAAATTTTCATTTATAACTGGCAATTTTCTTTCCCCTTTTTTTTTAAGGTTTGAGTTCGTAAATTGAACTATTTTCCATTGTATGTGGACAATTAAAATTTTTTAGTGGTTTCTCGAAAATTGTGAAATGGGCAAATATTCGTTACCTAAAATAGTAGCAAAAATGTAAATTCATAATTTTGTTATCGTTAATTTTTTACAGATTGTATAATATAGAACTAACTAGTTAGCGAAAAGTACTCGACATTTTTACAAAACCGAACGGAAACAAGGCTGACGCAAACTCGGTTTGTACGTTTGGTTTTAATTGGAAAAAATTGTTTCTATGAATCTAAGAAACGCAAGGTAATATTTAATATAAGGCTGTGAACAAATGATAAGTCAGACGCAGCCTTTAGGTTTCTAATTCTGATTTTTTTCATTTTCTTCCACCAAAGGATAATTTTTTTCGTGATAATGCCCTGTTTGTTTTTGTTCAAATTCAGATGATCTTCCTGGGGGAGGGGGTGAGGTTCTAGTCAGTGTTTGGGGTCTCCTGCCGTTGAACAGCCGCTCCCCTAACCCTCAGAAAAAAAAAAAAAAAGGGAAGAGGGACTCCCACTTTCCCTCTCCCTCACCTCGATTTTAAAAAGCAGCTTTTTTATAGCAACCGACGAAGACGGCAACGGCAATGAGATTGTCAGACAAGACAATTCAAGACAAAACTAGTTTTGTGAATCGTCTAGACATCCCGATTAGATTTCTCCTTTCTCTATTGACATGAGGTTCAATAAGCAAAACAACAGCTCCCATACCGTGATTCACTCTTACTTGGTTATAATTTGGAGCCAATTAATGAAATAGTATCGCCACTGAAATACGCTAATACAGTATCCAAAAAAGCCTTCCGAAAAAAATATGTTGTGTCTTATTGGTATCTCTTAAGCTTTAGAAAACTGACGACGCCGTTTACTTTGAAGCGCCTGTTATTCTCAAAAGAAGAAAAAGAACTAGTCAACACTCTTTCAGCCTTTTGTCTTTATCTCGATAGGTGCTGGATGTTATTTTAACTCAAAAAGAATTTTTATTTGTTACTTTGTTAAAAAGTTCCTTGTTATTATTAACGGGTGCGTTCGATCGGTCGTATTCTGTTAATCTCAAAAGAAGAAAAAAAACTAGTCAACACTCATTTTTCACAAAGCTTGGGCCACTTAGACGCTACTGATACATCGGAATATGTATATGTAAGTATTTTGCATTAAATGCCAAAACACATGATTTGTAGAATGTATTCCCTTTATTCTTATTCCGGGAGACCGTCAATCGAACGGGTGTCAGTATAACGCGGGGTCTGAGTCAGGGCCGGGGTAGGGGCAGTGGCAGGGGTTGGGGTCTATCTTTTTTTTTAAGAATGCTGTTTTAGAGTTAGGGTTAGGGTTGACACTCACCCTAATCCTATCCGAACCCCAACCCTAACCCTAAAACAGCTGACACCCCAATCGAACACGCCCTTGTCATATATATATTTTTCTCTATCTCTTAGTAGTTTGTTCTATTTATCTGTTTATTTAGTTTCCTATTTCTTTAGATTTTCAGTGTATTAAAACTGACTGATTTGCTCCACCCGCCTAGATTAACCCTGCTATTTGCGAGTAGAGCAGTTTGTAAATTCTCCTCTAAAATACTGAAAAAAACTTGAAAGTCAGTGAATTATACTTTTCAATGCCCCATCAGATACCTTTCCAGGCGGTGCAGCTTATCTCCACGCACGTGCCGACAAATACAACCCAGTGTCTCGTTTTTCAACCGAAACGTCTCGGCAGTTTTTACCAGTTGCATTGCAAGACTATTAAATCAAAGTGTTGCTTCGAGTAGAAAAGCGATGTTGCGCGTTTTACACGTTCAAATCTGTCTTGCTAACAAATTTGTGTGAATACTGACTTCTGGTTGGATAAAATTAGGCGGAAGTCACGCCATGCATGCTGCAAAACAAGTTCGCCTTGAGCCAGTGAAACGCGCAACATGTACGTGAAGAGTTTGCTGCAAAAAGTGGACGTAGTCTCTACCTTCTGCGACAACTTTTCCCAACCTGCGACTTCCTCGTTCGTTCCGGGACAGGCTTGATTCGTGGGTGGTAACATGCGCAACATCGCTGTTCAACTCATTTTGTAGCAATATCGGAAAACAAGTTGCGCGTTCTTCTTGCCCGTTTTAAAACACTGACAGGGTAGAAGGCTGGAAAGAGCCTGGATAGGAGAATTGAGTGGGTCAGCGGGACAGTCGGTCAGCGGTAACATCGATAAAATCCCATACATGAAGTACCTACCAAAATCCAAGATGGCGGACAAAGTTAAGGTAAACCATGTGTTATTCTTGACCTAAAATTCTACTTTCTGCCAACGAGTATTCATGATTTACTGAGATATTCCACGTGATAGGGAAATACAGCTATGAAGAAACGTAAGGATGGAGACAGAGTGGACAAAGACACACTGGGGAAGTACAACAGAGGAAAACAAAATAGGTTTAAGGTCAGTTCATACAAACTAAAAGTGGTAATCGATCTGAATTACTCTCGAGTGTTACGCTTCAACACATGCACCACACTTAGTAATAATTCTTGACTGACGTTTGATGTAGTGATTATACTTTTAACTGAAACCATTTCTGAATGTAAGCTTATGTTTTTAATGTTATTTTGTATTTACTTATCAGCGTTTAAAGGACAAGAAACTTCGAGGCAAACTCAAATCATATGAGTCACAGTATCAGCAAGCAGCTATACAGGCAGCCAAATCAGAACTACTACTCACAGAACAACCAGGGTATAAATACATCCCTTTTAATAATACATCCATTATGATGGGCTATCATAATTAGGGTTCTGAAGCGTAAGATCTTCACCAGCTATTAGAAGTTTGAGAACCATGCATTTTGATGAAAAATTTTACAATACATTAACCATCCTCTATTGATATTGAAATCAGTGAAGTAGAATCCCTGCCATCTCTTTCAGAAGAGGGAAATTGAAAGTTTAAAAATTTTCTAAGGTAGAATGTATTTGGCTTGAGAAGGAGAAGAATGGGAATCCCAGTGAACAATAATTATTTTTGTTTCCAACTTCAGTTCTGAGAGATGAATAAAGACATATTTACCTCCCGAAACTGAAAAGTCGCCTGGCTGATCCTCCTCTTCAAATCTGCCTCAAAAAGCAAAAATACCAAATAACTGACTGCTGATGAGAAGTTTTTTTGGCTGCTGTTGTTGATCCCTTTTATTTAATATTTATTTCACTGAAGCATGTATTTTATTTTTCAGGTGTTTAGTCTCTTGTGTATTGACGTGACCTAAAGCTGTTGATTTATTTTTAACTGTATTATATACTGTAGCTACTTAGAGGCTGAAGGCTTAGAGAAAACTTTTAAGTTCAAACAAAAGGACATCGCTGATGTCGTTGATGTTGCAAGTGCAAGAAAGGTAAGTTTTTTAATATATCAGAGCATATTGTACTGTAGATAAAACCTTTGTATATCTACTGCTGTATGCAATAAAAAAATTTATAACAGTCTTTGTGAAACAATGTTGGTGACAATAATATTATTATTGTGAACAATTGAATGGCGTATGGTAATTAGTAATGTCCAGTATTATGAGCTTAGCTGATGATATCTGAGACTCTCAGTGAGTGTTGTAGTTGCATTAATAATTATTTGTTTCAGTCATTTGCCCGGCCCCACTGGCATAAGTGCTATAAATACTGCCAAGGGTAAATGAATGAATTATTATTATTATTTTTATTATTGTTGGCCACTCATGGGAGTCTGTATGAACCTCTAGATCTGGCTCTACAAGGAGCCAGGTGATAAATTTGAGTCAGTGCAGTAATTGTTAACACACATCACCTGTTTACATATTATTTACATGTGCTAGAATTACATGTCTCAAATCCTCACAACTCTCCAAGTTAATGAAGCCCTGATGAGTGGTTTAGGAACTGGATGGGAGACCAGCTGCAAATATCGTGTCATGAAGACTTCTATTTCTTTCTTTCTTTTTCCTTTTTTTTTGTTTTATTGTTTTATTTATTTTAAAATGCATATAGTTGAACATATTCTGCATTATTTCGGATACTGGATTGAAAACAATAGGCAAGTCCATATTCAAACTACAGGCTGGTGTACATGTACACTTTCAGAGGTGAAACCACTCTTTCCATCAGCGTCAAAGGCATTACACTGTACTTTAATAAGACATTAGTTTCACCATACAGCCTGTTCTATTGTATAATGGTAATAAAATACTATTTTTTTCTTTAAGTATTTTGAATTGAACCTGGACATGTTTGGACCCTATAGGGTAAATTACACTCGCAATGGAAGGTGAGTTGGTTGTATTTTATTCTGAGAAATCAACAGTATGACTGTTTTATGCTTAAAAGTCTAGATGATTATGGAAAAGTTATGTTGCTGTTGTTCAGTTGTATCTCTGGTTTCAATATATTTT